CTCCGGTGACAGACAATCTACAAAATATTTACTTTGTATAAATTATCATTTATATTGTATTAAATTGTGTGTGTGTGTGTGTGCACGTGTGCCCATCCTCCTACATCCACTGAGACACTGTTCCTAAACCCTGGGGTTTTTGTGCACCTAGATCACTCTCATCACTGGGTTCCCATGGGGACCGCAAAACCCCTGTTGTCACAGTACCCGTGTCCCTCAGCAACTCAGCCAGGCAGCTGGCTTGATAAGGGAGTGAGGGACGGAGGGATGGATGGTAGGATTAAGTCTTCTCTTCCAGGATAAGAACCTTTCTGATTGAGGCTCCACTCCAGGAGTGGGTTTGATCTTTCCACCCATATCCCCTCATCTATTTTCTCATTCCCTCCATCCCTATTGTGATATCCCTTTCCCCTTCTTCCACTCACCCTACTGAACTATAATCCAATGTGACATACTTACAGATGGTCTGTCAATGGCAGCATCAGTGGTTGCTCAGCATCAGGGGGGCCCCTCGCCTGGCCGCCATCCTGGATCTGTGGAACCGGGGGCCTCATTGAGCGTATGCTTTGATGCTATAGAAATTAGACATTTATATGTGGTAAGTTGGGGGTTGCTGACAGTCAAGAGGTTGTATGTATTGAAGAGACATATTTGTAATGACAGGTCATTGAGAGTGAGGAGGAGCTGGTGTGTCTTCATACCCTGAGTTTGGGAATTAGACTGTTCCCGTGAGAGAAGAAACTGACACATTTCCAGGAAAAAAAAAACACTTTCATCACATCACTAGTTAGTTGGAAAACAATACTGCAGACCTTTGCTATTATAATGTGTAAGCTAGCAGCAAAAAATATACAAAAATTATTAAAATTATTCATACCGCACACAAAAATACAACATCCATGTAAATGAAGTGAAGTCATGAGAAATACTGTCAGTGTTTCTGCACATAACAGAAATGTAGCTTCATAAATAAAATAAAATGATTGCTTGGTTACCACAGTGAATATTGTGTTAATTATTAAATGCTTAAAGGTTGGGCAAGGAATATTTCTTTTTTTATGTGGTAGTATAGTATAATAGTAGAAGTATAATAGTAGAATTAGTATAGTATAATAGTAGAAGAAGTAGTAGTATTATTTCAAATTAAATTAATTTGTATTAATTTTAATCAGTATTTTTGTTCCGTGCTGAGTTGCATTTCGCAAACAACACCTAAACTCGCTGCTAAACTACCACCTGCTTAATTGTTGGATAAACTAACTAGCAATGCAGGAACTTTGTTGCAAATTTGTGATTCAAGTTAACTAGTTCAAGATCAAATTAATGTCACATTATTGTAAATAACAAACATGGCATCTGAGGACTGCTTCACTAATTTGGTTCACCATTATTTAGCTTTATTTTGTGGGTTACCCGCATGGTACTAGCAAGTACGCACATACTCTCTCTTTAAAAAAATGGTGCTTTTATTTCTTTTAATAAACTAAAAAACGTAGAATGAAATTTGTATGTAATAAAAGATACAGATTGCACAACATGTTAGCTTGCTTTTTTGCACAAGTGCATAATCTATTTAAAGGAATAGTTCACCCAAAAATGAAAATTCGGTCATTATTTACTAACCCTCATGTCGTACCTGTCTTAAGTTGAATGTTGTGGGTAATGAACAATGCAAACTTTAGCTAATGTCACAATACCATATGTACAACACTCTCATGTCGTACCATGTCTTATGTTGAACACAAATTTTCAAAAGAATTTTGAAGAACCAAACAGTTGTTGGTCCCCATTGACTTCCATAGTAGGAACAGAAATACTATGGAACAACTGTTAACTGTACTTCCAACCACATTTAGTTCTTTGGAACTATATGGATTCAAGAAACACCAACTCATTGAACTATGCTGGTAACAGCAGAACTTGCGAACACAGTAGGTTAACCACACTTTTGGGAAACATACCACTGGCTGGCAAAGGAGACACATTTTTGAAGAGATGAAGTAAAAAAAACTGGCTAAACTTCAGCTATCTCTGTGAATTAAACTGAGAAAAGGGAAAGTATTTAAACTTAAAAATGATATATTTTAGTTTCAATCTCTCCACAATACTACCACGGACATTTTAGGCAAGTAATTCACAAGCTAATGAAGCATTGCTCCCTAGCAGACCACTCTTTTTATAGCAAAGCAAATGATCCATTGAGCTGTACTGCTGCAAGGCTAAATGTTCAGCTTCTTGCTTGAGGGCTGTTGTTGTCAGCAGGCGATGTATCCCAGAGTCCCGCTGGAGAAGTCACACTGGGGTAGCATATTCATCATGTGGCCTCCACATTCAGCCTGATGTTATGAATCTAATTAGTTGATGGTGACACTGTCCTGTATCGCCATCCGGCTCGCATGCCTACAGCTTGCAGCCTTTATGCCTTTAATCCAGAAACAAATCCTTTGCATGCACAGGAAGAATCTTGTATTTGCAATTGTATTATTGTAATGACGCAAATAAGAAATTGAGTTTTCTGCATTCTCGATAAATCCGTAATTATATAAAGATTGTACTGCACTGAATTTTCAGCTATAGAATTCAAATTTTTATGAGATGTACTGCAGGTTTAGATCTGGTAGTGTCAGATGTGAGTTAGTCAGAGGTTTGATTTATGTGAGCATAAACCTTTTATTGCACCTATTCTTTAGAAGGGACTGATATTAAACTGTCATGCATCATCTGGGCAAATGAGAACCTTTGAATACTATTTAAAGGTGTGCTATCATGAGGAATAAATGTTTCCTTGATGTTTGGAGTTTGAATAGATGTTTTGTATGAAAACTTTCAGAAAAGAGTATTTATTGAAACCAAAAATAAAAAATTACATTTTAAAGTTACTTTCTGATGTCACACAGATGATAGTAATTATAATTTTCAGGTTATTCAAATATGTTCACTAAACATATACACTAAATTTGACCTAATATTCTCCTAATTTCCTAATTTTTGTTTTATGATGTTGTATTTAACCTATCTGTTTAATATGATATTGTAATGATCATTACTGTTATCTTATTTAATTCAAAAATAAGTCAGATTTAGAGTAGGGAAGGGTCATTCAAAATGTAAAAAATATGTGCCACTTTTTTCACAAAAATATTATGCAGCACAACTGTTTTCAGCATTGATAATAATAAGAAATGTTTCTTGAGCACCAAATCAGCATATTAGAATGATTCCTTAAGAATCATGTGACACTCAAGACTGAAGTAATGATGCAGAAAATTAAGTTTTGTCACCAGAGGAATAAATTACATTTTAAAATAGATTAAAACAGAAAAAAATTTACTATAACATTTGAATATTAATATTTCATATATTTATATATTAATATAAATAATATAATATATAATATTCTTAACATATATCAATATTTAATTAATATAATACAAATATATAATATGAGTTCTACCCTTCTTGTTAATGTGCTGCATAGAGGAGCAGAGGAACTTCACACTAAAGTCACAAGAGGACTGTTCACTCACACTATTTCAATCTGGCATGCTGTACTTTTGGCCTGTCAGACTAGAGCTTTTTTGTTCCATCTCTGTGAAGAAAAAGATAGCACTGGATGAAATGTTATCAATTTGCATGCACTTGTGAGAGGAGTTTCAATTGTGGCTTTTAGCACCAACCCATTAGCCTGATAATTGAAACCCAAGTTCTGTATGCTGCTGGCTTTGAATAGAACCTAGTTAATGCTAAAGCTAGCGTGAAGAGCGTTCTTGGCAAAGTATTGAGTCTCGCGAATCTCGAAAATCAGCATACGTGGTCTAAAAATAATGCACTGTATAGTTGCCTTTCGATATTTACTTTTTCGCCTTATCTTGCCTGTTTATCATTTTCAATCCTTTCATTCTCTCTTCCAGTCTGTAAATTATATTTTTCTATTCCTTTACCCTGCAAGGATATCTGATCTGAACACTCAAAGGAGCACAAAATCATCTTTCTGTTGAATTAGTCCTGGATGGCTCCTTGATCAAAACCAAAGGAAACCAGATTCTGAAGGTCTCGGATTGTGCAGCATGTCTCAAGTGCACAGCGGTCTTATTAATGTGTGCTGTTATTTACCACATGCTCCTAAATCGAAATTTCTCCGTAATGATGTGTGTGTGTGTGTGGCGTCTGGTATTATGGCAGATATTAACGCACGGTCACACCCTCTCCCTTCACGACAGACATAAAACCCAGCACTCATTAAAGACGGATCAGTGCATTTTATAAGAGCCAAGACAGCATTGCGTCCCTCCAGAAACATGCAGAATATAATTTATTTGATCTGGGGAGAGTGTGTAATGTGTAAGTAATCTATACCTGTACATGCTCTTGTGTGAGTGTGAATGCATGTATGTGTGATTTTAGCTGCGTCTGTTTGAGCTCATAATGAGAATGTCTGTCACTTTCCTCATTTTCTCACTTTTCCAAGATAATATAGCAGTTTGCAGTTCACTTTTAGTTGTTGCTGCCTTGTTGCACGTATATTAATAGGTGTGTATTATGAAAAAGAAACACTGTCTTGTACTGTAAAAAATGCTGCAGTCATTTTTAGCTTACCACTGATCATTAAATACAATATAAATTATAAATGTTTCTTGAGCAGCAAATCTGCATATTAGAATGATTTCTGAAGGATTTAACTGTGAAGAAGAGTTTAATTAATCAAAATATAAATGATTCAAGTATAATCGATGTGAATATAGCCATTTATGTATTAAGTTATTCCACTATTATAATCATGTGTATTTGCCTGCATGTATAGAAATCTGTATGAGACTGGAATCTGCAGACATATGGAGAAGTACATGATAAGCACATGATGGCATATAATGGGGCCCTTATTTTCACAGAACATAAAATTAAGGTCTCATGACTGCATCGTGATCCCATATGAATGAAATGTATTGAACATGCCCAGAGAAAAAACTGTATATAAGAGGGTACAGAAAAAGATTCGAGAGATTGCTCTGCAGAGTTCTCTCAGTTTTATTGTCTCTGAAAATAAAATCTCTTCTGGCATCAAAACTCCAAGACTCTGAGAAAGACTCTTCACAGCAGCGGTAGAAGCCACCACATATCACTGAAAACTAGAGTAATAGCTGCTGAAAATTCAGCTTTGCCATCACAAGATATTACAATATTGAAACAGACATCAGTTATTTTTAATTGTAATATTATTTATAATATGTTTTCACCATATTTTTTGTCAAATAAATGCAGACTTGGTGAGCATAAGACTTCTTTCAAAAACATTTAAAACTCTTACCAACCCCAAACTTTTGAATGGTAGTGTACTATACTGTACTGTACTATACTTCTTTCTCACTAGATCTTTTGCCTCTTCTTGGTTTGTTTGTAAATTGCATTTTTACATTTATGTAATTTGATTCTAAACCTGGTGAGTTTTATTCTTTAGTTTGGTTCAAGTAGGCATATATGATCATGACAATCGCAAATCTGCCTCAAAACAATCAAACATGAGACTTCAACTTCTGGAATGGTTTTCTTTTGGTGAGAACCAAATCGAAGAACCAACTAATATTCCTGACCAATGAGAGGCCAGTTTGCTCATGTGACTTTCATTAAAGGGATAGTTCAGCCAAAAATGAAAATTCTGTCATTAATTACTCACCCTCATGTCGTTCCAAACCCGTAAGACCTTCGTTCATCTTCGGAACACAAATTAAGATATTTCTGATTCATTCTGAGAGCTCTCTGACCCTGCATAGACAGCAAGGATCCTTACATGATCAAGGCTCAGAAACGTAGCATGGAGATCGTTAAAATAATCCATGTGACATCAGTGGTTCAACCGTAATTTTACGAGGCTACGCTGTTTACATTATTTATGCTTTGATCTGAACGTAAACAATGTATCCGCGTTGCATACGTTGTTTACGTATGTTATACTAGGGTTGGGTACCGAAACCCGGTACCAATATGGCACCGGTACCTATGTAACCGGTATGTACTAGAACCG